CCGGTGCTCCGCACTTAAACGCGCCGTGACCGCCTCCCGTCCCCTCCCCGCCCGTCCCTCCCCGCCGTGCCGGACCGCGAGGAACCGCTCGGTTTCGTTTTCCCTTCTCCCAGAAGCGAAACTTGGCACCGAGTGGCGGGCGCGGGGTTTTCCTGCTCCCTCCCCGCCCCATCGTGACCCCAGTGTCCCCATGCCTGTCCCCATGCCCCGGAGCCGCCTCTCGGCCACCGCAGAGCCCGCGGCTACCCGGGGCTGGGACAGGCTTTGAGCACCTCTGCGTTTGAGCAGCTCTAGCACCTAGGACCCCTTCTAGTGTGTGAGGTCTCAGGGACTTTGGGTCTTGTGAAACTCGTGAAGCAGGGGGAAAACTGAGTTTTTATAACTGCACTGCACCTTTGTCATGCATTCAAGAGCTCCTCTAAGTTTATACAGTTTTGCACAGAGGAGCAGCTGAAGGTAGGGAGCCTGATGACTTCAGATACATGAAAAGAAAATAATTGCAGGTTCTTGAATTCTTGGTCTCCAATAATGCACCTCAAGCAAAGCTACTGCAGCAAATTGAGCACATGGTTAGCCTTAACAGCAGGAAGAGTTGGCAGCCTGAGGTGAGACATTGGTGGCTCATGTTACCACTCATGGTAACACCAGGAGAGATCAGGACCAAGCTGCCAGTTTCCATATTCCTCAATTCCTTGGTGGTACAACAGGTATTGCTGGAGAAGGAGCCCCTCCATCATAGCATCAGTTGCCATCTTCAGTATTCCACTGTGTCCAGACACACCAACAGGTTGGTCACTAATTTTCAGCCTCACTGTGTCTTCACTCAGCCTGTCCTCACTCTTGTGAGGGCCATTTAATGTTGTCACTGCTTCCAAGGTATGGAATCATACTCAAATATTAACACCTGCCAACTGCATGCTGTCAATGGCCTAAAATGGAGCTTCCCTCACTTCCATTGACCACTGAGCATTGGCTACTGCTGATGTAGCCAAGCACTCTTGCCCTTATGTTCTTCTCTTTTTATTTCTCTTTTTTTTCCCCTTCCAGAACAGGGGTAGGACTATCTTCACCCTGTGCAATTTTCATGGGACACAGAACTTGCCTGCGAATAAGAAGTGTTAATTAGTCACTGGCTATCAAATTCCTGTCATCCTTCCTTCAGTTTCACCTTAGAGGTGATCTACTGGCTGAATAATGTCTGGATCAGCAAAAACCAGGAGAGTTTTTATTGTGTGAACAGTTTTTATTGTTGTCTCTATCAGCTGTTCCGTGCTGGAGCAGGTTCATACCAGTAGGGCAGGGTGGGAGACTTCCTGCTGTGTCCAGCTCCAGTAATGCCACCTCACAAAGGTATTGCTGCAGCATGGTACGAAACATCTCACTTCTGACGCTTTCCAAATGGTCTCAGAGGCTGTCAGCAGAGATAATTCCAGCAGGAGTTAACCATGTGCCCTTCCAGTTCCTTAAGGTTTATGTAAGACACAAGCTTAAGGATAAATGCAAATTATTCTAATAAATAAAGTCTGTCGATCACAAACTTGAAAATATAATTTGAAAGGGAGTGGACAAGACAATGCAAATTTAAACTGAAATCTGACATTGGAGTTGCTAATTGGTAGCTTCAATATTTCAATTAATTTGGAGGATTCTGACATGCCCTGTTATCTCCTCACGCCATACATCCCTTCTGTTGCATGGTAGGAGCCCTGTTCCATTTCTTATCTTCTCTCTTATCTTTTTCCCTAAATGTTGATCAATGTAAAACCAGCACAGGCCCCAATTCAAATTCCTTTCTTTTCTCGTTCATATCCCTTGTTCATGTCAAGTTAAGCCAATGCAGGTGTAGGGACTACAGCCTTTCCCTCTTTTTTGAGATGGAAGGCTTGTTACTAGCCCTGAGCTCGTTGCCTAGTACCTCAGCTGGCTAGAAAAATTAGGTTCAAAATACTTAATTTCCAAAGTCAGTAAAGAATCCTTGATGATTATCAATTTCTCCCAACACAAGATTTACATCTGATACCTAAACATTCCAAAAACATGTCAGAAAAATACTTCTCAATGAATCAGAAAACGAAAACATTAGCATTTTTGGACTGTTTTATTTTCAAAACACAGATGTCTGTTTCAAGCAACAAAACATGAAGAAACTTTGCACCCAAAGATTCCTGCTCTTTGTAATTCTATCAGTGCTTTCTTAGAAAATGGCAATTTTAGTTCTTTTTACTTTTTGCCTCAAGGAAGTATGATGTCACTGTCTGCATTAATGTAAAGCCTCACAAAGTAAACTCAGACCAGGATGTGTCCCCTCCACATGTACAAGTCTCAGCAGCATCAAGAAAAACATTCATGTTTTACATCCCAGACTGTCTTAGCACACAGGCTCTGTGGTGAGGCCTTCAAGAAAACACAAATGTGCATTTTTATACACAAGCTTTGAATCTACAAGAAATATTGCAAGAAAGAACTGTAATAAAATTTTCTGTCCTGATTCTTTCTGGAAGAACATCAGAGAAGCAAGCATAAATGTTCTTTGAAAATTCTAAGAGGTATGACTCCTTCCTCTAATTTTCTACAGAAGCCATCTTACAGTGGCACGATGGAGTCCCAGTAATAATATTTCTGTTCTCTAAATTCGTATCTAAAAGCCTTTCAAAGATTAATATAATTTTTCAAAATTTATCGAATAATGTTAATAATGGTGCACTAGATAATAAATAAGTACACAACTAGCAAGGAAGAATCCAAATGGAAAAACATAGATAATGCTCTTGTGCCTAGTTGCTAGTTAAAACAACTATATAACATTTATCTAATTTTTGTAATTTTATATTTTAAATAAGTATATTGCTTTCTCCAGAGTAGATATTTGGCAGTTCCAGTCAAATAGTATCTTGCTAGGCAAACCAAACTTCTGATACAAACCAGTAACATAAAAAAGTTTAAAGCAGAAGTCATATCACATCATGTGGAAGGACCAGAAATGGTCCACGGACAATCATGCAAATCATGCAAATCATGCAATGGCAGAGGCAGTTTTAGCATTTGATAAATGTATTACTTCTTGTTCTAGTCTCAGCTGAAAATTCTCTCTTTCTCATTGCATCTGCAGCACTGTAAATGCAAACCTGTCAAGGACCCTGTACTTAGAGCGACTCAGCTCTCCTTGGAATGCAGAAATACAAGGGGAAATTGCCAAACAAAAAGCTTAAACCCACATGCAGTTAAGTTATGAAAGACCTATGAAACACACAATATAAATATAGATATAGATACAGATTAAGCACATTTGAAAGAAGTCCACCATGGGCCCTTAATAGTGTATATGTGATCTCCCATTTAGGAAGTATTTGAAAATATGGATTCTATGATCTAGGAAAAGATCATTGAATTGTAGAATGATAGAATACCAGGTTGAGAGGGGCCTCAAGGATCATCAGATCCTTTCTTGACAAACCTATGTTGAGAGAAGAATCTGTGTCCTTTCCCAAACATCCAGCAGTGGCCACTGTCATGGGCAGAAGAGGAATCTCTCTTGGCCTGACACTATACTGACTTCTGTGTTCTTATGGTCTCATCCATGAATCTTTTTCTTTACTGGAGGGCCCTTTACTGATATTCTTTAAAGTGTATTCTACATAAAAAGAGCAGTTTTATTTGCATGTATTCTATATATCTAAACGTTTTATGGGCCTTTGACTTAAGTGTTTTTCTGCCTGTGTATCAGCTGTTTAGTGGACTGTACACTTAGATACATTTTTAAGTTACAGGCTAATCAATTCCTGTTGTTTGTTTTTTTTTCTTTTTACACTTTGTGTGGATCAAAATTTTTAATATTTATATGGCCTCTTGTTGTGTCTGTATCTCATCCCTATGTAACACAGTGGACACTCTAAGATGTGAAAATGCTCCTGAACAGTGTTTTGTACATAATTAGCACATTTGTTCTTCAACATTGCTTCATATTATTCAGAGGACAAAATTATACAGGTCCTTGTAAAGAGGCTGAAAAATGCTTAACATAGGTTAATTCCAAAACTCAGTCATACTGTCTCCACTGATTATAAATACAACCAAAGGGCAAAAAAGACAATTGTCTTTTCCTATATTTTCCTATATTTTTACTTATCTGCAATAAGTATTTACTATATTTACTTTATCTGCAAGAGGGTACTTTTAAGTAATTTGGCAGAACAGGCATAATTGGCCTGTTATGAATGATCTCATAAGCACATTATAAATGAAGTAATCATCACCAGCTTGGCTCAGGAATGGTTGCAACGAAGTTATATCAAGGCAGTGAGACAGGAAAAGGGAAAAAGGAAAATGAAAGTAAGTGCTTTCTATTTGTTCAGCAGAGAAAGGCAACAGTAGCATTGGAGAAAAAAACAAAACAAAACAAAAAACCAACAACAAAAGACAAACAAAAACGAACAAAACAAATAAACAACAACAAAAAACCCTCACAAAAAACAAGAGAAACAAGCTGAGAGCTCAGTGAGGGAAATGGCCAGCTTTACAAGTGCTTCTGAAATGAAACTTGGCTGCAAGTCAATTGGACTTCAAGCAAACAAATGAACAGAAAAGTGCAGATAGGTTTCAGTATAGATAAAGGTGAGGCAGTGCAGATACAAAAGAGTCATTGAAATCTTGTGTACCTGATGCTGAGCTCAGCAGTGGCACTTGTGCTCGGGTCACTGTTGCTTCTCCTCTGAAATCAATGGATCTGTGAGAGGCAGCAGAGAAAAAAAAGTCAGCTTAAAGCTTAGTATCACTCAGAAACAAGGTAGATTTCATTATTCTGCTGGTCTCTGAAACTTTTGTAAGTGTGACCAAAACCTGACTAGCGGTCCAGTTCAGGTATCCACACCTTGGCAGGACCTTACAGTTAAAGAAGTTATCCTTGTTTCTAAATAATCAAGGGGATGAAGCAATTGCCTTACCAAGGAATGGAGGCTGTCATTTCTGACATGAAAAAGCTGGAAGGGGAAATCTGAGTAGTTAATAAATAAACTGAATGTTGAATTATTATTCACCAAAATCAGTAATATTATTAGAAGGGACACTTTTTGTAGGTAGGGTGTGAGTTTAAAACTCATAACATTTTTATGCAGCAATAGCATTTCTGGAATTGGAGATCACAGGGGTTTGTGGAGGTAGATTGTATCACAGAGTCAAAAAGAGGTTTAGGCAACATCATGAGCAAGGGTCCACAACAGGTGCTGAAAGGGGCAGATGAGGATGTACTGTATAACATTCCTAATTCGGTGACTGTGAAGGCTGGAGGACCACAAGGACTAGGAGAAGGGACCATGGATAAGCCAGGCATATGTACAGCATGTCATTTTGCCAGGGAAAATATTGGCTGAGAAGAGCTCCTACTCAATGCATATTATTATGGTCTATTGGCTTCCTGTATAAAAAAAAACGTTTTACTCTGTGTCTTCTGGTATCCATACCATGTGTTTGAGTGATGTGGAATGGTGCTGGAGTTCTCAGGTATGAAACAGCTTAAGAAAAAACAAATTAATTTTGGTACATGATGCTGGGACTGTACTGAAGCACTTCCAAGGCTATGTTCCCAGTTTTGGCTCTGGCCCAGCCTTCCATCAGCTCCTTTGGAATGGGAGGTTTCCAGCTAGTACAGATGATTTACAACTGGTACTTCCTACCAGCTGCTCCCCTCTCCCTGCAGTTACACTAAGTAGAGGGTATTTGTGCAGTTGTTTGGGATGACCAGAGGAAGACAAGTTTCCAAGGAATTTCGTGTAGGGTATATTAGTTCAGAAAACATGTTTAGAAGTTTAACTTTAGATATCTCTAAGTCACAGTTCTCCAGCTATTGGAAAAGAGAAGTTTTCTACAGAGATGCAGATTCTCCAATATTTTAAGTTACATCTTTTGAGAACTCAAAAACTGCATTTTGAGCAATATTACTCACAGGACCTGTCACAAGACTAAGTCAGTTCTATTGTTATTTGCAGTGCTTCTGGTTCCTGCCTCTGAGCTGATGAAAGCTGAAATTGGTCATTGCAAAATTATGATAACAGGCTTATAAAAGTCCAGTTTACTCCCAAATTTATTTGTGTCTGTTGGTCTTGTTATCAAGGCACTTAATAACCAAATAATGGGGTCAAGTTACTGATATGCCTGACCGCCCAGTGCTGTTTGGGTGCTGCAACTCAACAAAGTAATTCAGTTTGGCTAGGACTTGTTGGTCATTTGGGGCCAGTCCTAAGCAGTGGAGCATATTTGCACTTCTATTTTTATTTTTTTTTTTAATTTTACATTTGTTTTTAGACGATCAGAGGATTCAGCCACCAGAGCCGGTGGGAATGTGACCCTTTGTTGCTGGCGGGCGGGCAGACGGGATCCCGAGGCCGGGAGCTTTCAGGCCGTGATTGCTGGCGCCCATCCGCGCACAGGGACCGGACCCCTTCAGCCCGGTGCCACCGGGCGGGGCGGGGAAGGCAGAAGGGCGTTCCGAGGAGCTGTTCCTTGCTCGGGGCCGGTCCCCGCAGACCGGCGCTTTCCCGGCCGGCCGAGCCACTTTCGTTTCCCGCTGGCTCCTCCTCCGCCGGCGCCGCTTCGCTCTGCAGCTGGCCCGGCTTTCAGCTCCCGGCTTTCAGCTCCCGGCTCCCGGCTTTCAGCTCCCGGCTCCAGGCTCCCGGCTTTCAGCTCCCGGCTTTCTGCTCCCGGCTTTCTGCTCCCGGCTCCCGGCTTTCTGCTCCCGGCTTTCTGCTCCCGGCTTTCTGCTCCCGGCTCCCGGCTTTC